GGGAAACAGAAAAGAGGACGCTCTGGCAAAAATATTGCCAAGACGTCCTGCTCCATTTGTCTCCTATAATTTGCCCCATTCCTTCCAGGCTTCCACAGTAGACCCGTTTTTTCTCAATTTGTCTCCCCCAATTTGCCCCTATTTTCAAAAATAAAATTAGTTCTTCTGTAATTTCTCCACAATTATTTTAAATCTTTTGTTACGCTAAAGCGAGTACATAATATTCTATTCCATACTTGATTGCTGTCGAATTTGGATCCTTTTCTGAATGGGTATGGTTCCATTATGTTTTTTTCTTTCCTATGTGTTTGTTGGGCCCCCCTCTGTGTTCGTCTGGGTATGATTCCAATTTCTTTCCTCTCTTTGCCTTTCTCAAAGATGGATTAATGATGGTTCGAGTTCATAACTAATGGCAAAGATGGATTAATGATGGTTCGAATTCATAACTAATTTTGTGTCTTTTTACGGTAGGGGAATTTTGTTTCCTTGCATTTGTTTTATTCGTCCCAAACATGATGGAATTGCCATAGAGGAAGAATTAGAAAGAGCCCTTGCTCATTCATTGAGAGAGGGGGAGAAGGATTTTGGCATGGCTGTGCTTTGATTGGGAGAGGTGGAAGAGAGTGTGTTCTGCACAGGCAGAGTTTGTGGCAGGAAGAACGGAGAAATTGAGAAAGACAAATGAAACGCACAGTATTTGGGATGAAGTGGCAACGGTTTTTTTTTTTTTTTGGCACATCTTGATTTACGTTTTCTTAATTTAATTCACTCTTCATTTTAAAATCATTATTTTTTTCTTTTAAACATATCTAGAATTAATTATTTATTTAAAAAATAAATATTTTTTAACTTTAATCTATTATTATATATTTATTTTAATTAATTATTTTTTCCAAAAAATTATCCTTATTTATTTTAAGAGCAATATTTTTAAATATATAAATTATTCTCATATCTTAATTTTTAAAAGAATTTAAAAAAAGACATTTATTTTAGAAAAATAAAAATTAAAACGTTTTAACATTTTAAATATTAGAACATTCAATTTCAATCACATAATAAATGAGACTCAAGTAAAATTTATATAATATTTCATTAATCATGTAATTTTGATTAAACGTTTTAATATTTTTAATATTAAAATATTTTAAGTTTTTATATCCTTTTATTTTAAAATAAAAGAAGTATATATTATAATTATTATTTTAAAATGATAATGGAGCAGGATAGGAGTGTTCCTCGTTAGCAATCACTTCTTAAGGTAGAATGTTCAAAACCAACTTTAAAGTTAAGTGGTAACCCACCTGTAAAATTATATGGTAATGATAGATTTATTTTTGAACAGAAAATAGAAATAAGTTTTTTCATAAAATTTTTAACTTGAATAAATCACTTCAAATTTAATGCATGATGTTAATGATGCAATAAATTAATAGATTACTAATATTGAATTATGTCACATGTTAAATTTAAGTAATTTGTCCAAATCAAAAATTTTGTGAATAGATTTGTACCCATTTTTTGTTTGAGGATGAATTCATCTTCACTACATAATTTTAGGGGTAAATTTGGATATTCTACTACTTCCCAAAGAAGAAACTGCCCTAGAGTTAAAATAAGATTTTGGGGTTAAAATATGGTTTTTCTAATTTATATTTTAAATGTGCATATTACAAATT